CCTTCAGCTATAATCTCGTACTTCATTGAAACATAAGGGTATTCACATAAAATCTCTACTTGGTGTTTTCCGACACTGTGCGAAATTTCGAAATATTCAAAATGCTCTCAAATGGTGAAAAAAAAAAATTTCTTAACTTCGACAACAGAGGCATGAAGATGATCTCATTACCTCGAGATATTTCGCGAATCAACTTCCTTTCTCTCTTATTTACAGAGTGATCTCAAGAAATCAACTTTTTAGTTTTGCAGCCATAACTTTTTTCCACGTCAACCGATTTTGGAAATCTTAGGCTCATTTTGAAGATAAAACTTCAGATGAAGAAATCTGAATATCAGAATTGACTCAAGATGGCAATCAAAGATCTAGAGTTTTCTTGAAAGTGACCCAAATCTGGAACGCCCTCTGAATCTCGGTTGGGAGGAGAATTGAATGAAAATCAACTTGTTCTCGGAAAAACAATTCATTCTAGATGCGTTCATATTTTCCTCGTTCTCAGTACTCAAGAATGTGCGTGAGAAAACACAATTGAAACATGTTCTTGCAAACACATCAGACCATTTCTCCTCTGTAATGCATGGAGCATAACCAACGTTACAAGAATCACAGTAAGTGACTGACAAGTCAGGTTAGACGTCGTTTTCGAATCATAAACAGATTTTGATAGTTTCGATGCCGCATCTACCGCCCGACCAGTTGGAACTGATTCCACAAATGAGGGAACAAGGGGTATCTTTCCTCCAAATCGCGGATCTGCTAAACACGATCCATTCAAAGGGCTTATCTCCGACACGAATTGTTTGGTTATTATTGTCGATTCGTTCGGCGCATTATTGCGACTGAAAACTTTACGTAATTGGCAAACTATTTTCGTGAAACTTTCACCATTTTTGAAATGCGTTTTTACAATAAATGAACGTTGTTTGCTTGAATACTTCTCCATATTCTTAAATCGCATGTTATGTACGTGACAACTGTTGAAAAAATCACTTTATTGAAAAAATCAAAATCCGTTGCTCTTGTTGGTACACCATCTATGATGAGCCTCAGCTGGTCGGGTTTGTCAGTCACTCATTGTGATTCTTGTAACGTTGGTTACGGCGGGCCATGCATTACAGAGGAGAAATGATCTAATGTTTTTGCAAGAACATGTTTCAATTGTGTTTTCTCATGCACGATTCTTGACTACTGAGAGGTTGGAAAATATGGACGCATCCAGAATGAATTGTTTTTCCGAGAACAAGTTGATTTTCAGTCAATTCTCCTCCCAACCAAGATTCGAAGGGCGTTCTAGATTTGGGTCACTTTCAAGAAAACTCTAGATCTTTGATAGCCATCTTGAGTCAATTCTGATATTCAGATATCTTCATCTGAAGTTTTATCTTCAAAATGAGCCTAAGATTTCCAAAATCGGTTGACGTGGAAAAAAGTTATGGCTGCAAAACCAAAAAGTTGATTTTTTGAGATCACTCTGTAAATAAAATAGATAGGAAATTGATTCGCGAAATATCTCGAGGTAATGAGATCATCTTCATGCCTCTGTTTTCGAAGTTGAGAAAAAAATTGTTTTCACCATTTGAGAGCCTTTTGAATATTCCGAAATTTCGCACAGTGTCGGAAAACACCATGCAGAGATTTCATGTGAATACCCTTATGTTCTAATGAAGTACGAGATTATAGCTGAAGGACTGGGTTATCGAACAGTGTGAACCAAATTCAAATTGTTCTAAACTGAAAAAAGTTATTCACATTATAACAGGGGCGACATTTTGGTGTGCGACGAAATTAGTGTTGAGTAGTTTAGTATATTACACACCGAGGTGGGAAGAAATTCATTCTTGTCGTGGCGTCGAGGTCAGCTATGATCTCGAGACAGGAATGAAACTTCGAGACAGGAATTAAACTTCCTACCGAGGTTTGTATACTATTTTATTCACAACCATATATGTAATGTTGTCATCACTAACGTCATTGAAGGTTGGGAAGTGTCACATTACACACCTCTACTTCCCGCCCCTCACTACTTCCCGCCCTCACTTCCCGCCCTCACTTATGTAATAATTCAGATATGTTCAGAACGAAACATAGATTTATTAATTTTTATCGAAATATGATGGTTGTAAATAAAATAGTATACACACCTCGGTAGGAAGTTTCATTCCTGTCTCGAAATTATAGCTAAGCTCTACGCTTTGGGTCTCGGTTAACTAACTGATCTCACGACAGGAATGAATCACTTCCCACCTCGGTGTGTAGTATACTATTACTCGAAATGTTTCATTACAAACACATCTTTAATTTCATTTCAGGGCTTGATTTTGTTGTTTTTCTTATTTTGTATTCCTTCTTATCTCATAAACTCTTTATATGCCTCAATTAGTAATTTAAAAATTCTTAGTGCTGTTACGTTTCCTTACGCCTTCGATTAAGCACATTACATGTAGCACAAATAATTACTTATTCATTTTTCTTTATTTGTATATATGTGCCTTATGTTATTGGAAATAAATGTATCTATCTTCAGGGCTTTCATTTCAAAACTTTCCACCCTGCATATCTTTTGATCTGCGAAGATTACAGTTTTCGGAAAAAAACAGGTCGAGGGGGAAGTAAAATGCCAACATCAATTGAATTCTATGTTCATCCCCTCCACCCCCAAAGACCCCTACTTTGAAATCTCAAATGGCACCCCCCACTTTGAGATACATAAAATTGAAGGTTTATCAATAATCAAATCAACCAGTTGAAAAATAATTTACTTTGCATACAGGGTGGGTCATGAGGAACTCAACACCACGAATAGATGCCCCTGAGGGGAATACCGCATGGCCATCCAAAATGTTTTCTCCTCTTCTACAATAATATACAGAGTGATTCATAGGATTGGGCAAAAAATTATACTCTTGTCATAACTTTCCAACAAGTTCTTTGAATTATTAATTTTTTTGATGAAATATTATAGGCACCCGTTCCTATAGACGTATACAAAATTGTTAATAAACCTAATTGTAGATTCTGGGACAATGAAAATCCACACATATGTCGACAGGACCCTACTCAAGTTTCCTGAGAAAATCAATGTGTGGACTGGTATTCTAGGAAATGACATAATTGGACCACTCTTCATTGAAGACAATTTGAATGGACAATTGAACCTGGATTTATTGGAGAATACAATTGATATAACACAATCTTTAGAGAGGCAAATCAATGATCATGAAAATATGTTGCTGGACGAAAATAATCAGTTCTACCACATTTTTTTCTAGACGTGAGAGAATGGTTGAATCAACGATTTCCTAGGCAGAAGAGGTGCCATAGAATGGCTAACAAGATCTCCAGATTTGATACCTATTGACTATCTTCTGTGGGGTCACTTGAAAAACAATGGTTTATAAGACTCCACCAGAAGATATTGATGAACTCAGAAGAAGAATCATTTCAGAATGCAGACAAATCAATCGGTAAACGTTTCAAAAAGTTCTTGAAGAGTTCGAAAATAGGCTGTACTATTGTCTAGAGAATAATGGAGCACATTTTGAGCAATTTCTTTTAATACCACTCTGAAGAAGTGCATTTCTTCTTTGACACAATTCGTCAAAATAAATCACTCGTAGGTTTTGAAAGGAACTAAAAGAAAGAAATTGTTCTATCCGTCATTCGGTTGCCCCCTTACGAGCAACCCTCAGAAGTCTTCGAGAGTCTTGTGCGACCAAGGAATGACGGGGGCCTTACCTTTTAACGTGTGATCCCAAACACTTTCTTGGGCCATCAGAAAAATTTCTGTAGTCGTTGGGAATCGAACCCACGACCGGCAAGCGAATGTGAATTAGAATACCGACACTCTGTCTGTATGGCTACCTGGCCCCTACTAGTAGGGTATACCATTCTCAGCTGGATGAAGCACTAACACATTTTGTTCTGATTGACAGAAAAGGTATCATTGTTCACTAAAACCATATACATAGTGATAGCTGGCAACATTTCACAAATACGGTCCTGGATTTTTTCTAATTCTGTATACCTTAGTCTATTGGTGTTGGAGTGCATAATGTTCCATGAAAAAATGAAATGAATCACAGATGCTGTTGAAAAGTTGTGACAAAAATATTGTTTCACTAGATATTATGAATCACCCTGTTTATTACTGTAGAAGATAAGGAAAAACTTCTTTACACGGAATGAATATATTTCCCCTGGTTGATTTGATCATTGACAGACCTTAAATTTCATGTATCTCAAAGTAGGCGGTGCCATACGAGATTTCAAAGTAGGGGTGTCTGGGGGTGATGTGGAGGAACATAGCATTCAATTGATACTGTTATTTTACTTCGCCCTTGATATCTAAATCGACCTGTTTTTTCCGATAATTGTAATCTGATCAGAAGATATGCAGGGTGGTAAGTTTTGAAATGAAAGCCCTGTATATATCTATCTATCTGTCTAAAAAGTGTCTTCATAAGAATACATTTTGCAACCCAATTAATCAATCTTTCAATTTCAATGAGGGCGAACATTTCCAGTCTCACCAGTTCGCGCTACTAAAACGTGAAAGTCAAAAATACCACAATCTTGCCGGATGGCCCTAAAGGCTGTGGTCTATTGCATTTTATTTTATCGAAAATATTCGGAAAATGATGAGAATATTTGAACAACTAGAAAACTTCAAGTTATGGAAATTGTTGAGCAGACTCACGATGTTTACTCTCAATGGGGAACTTTACGACCAATTCTTACATTGAGGAAAAAAAAAGATATCATAGAGAGGCCAAATGACACAAAAAGAAGAAGTATATTCATCAGTTCTACCAACTCTGATCTCACATTTCAGTAGCGAGATTTGGTGGACAATAAAATGGTGGCCCTCATTTAAACAACAGTTTCAAGAAATTAGTTTTTCATGTTATGATACACATTCCTCATGTTATTCTGTTCTAATTATACACCAGTACTTCAAAATCACTCTGCAAACATTGGAATGAGAAATTATTATAACTTACCGTAATTCTGAAAATTACTGCTGAATTTTCCACTTGGTGGTGTATACAATTTATTTTCGGTGCCTTTACCACCAGTTCGTATCTGTTTGTTTGAAGATCCATTACTTGAATCAAACTGTATGGGAACATGTCGCTTTGTAGCAGTTGATGTACTCTCCGTCGTTAGCTGAAACATTGTTATCTTTGATAAAACGGTATAATGGGCTAGTGGCTATTTTCTAATTAATCAGAATGAGAATCTTTGCACTGATGTTTTCAAATACTAATATAATTGGTGGAATTCAAAATTTTATATAATATTGTTCAACTGTTTTACAGAATCAGGATTCAACAGGATGGGAGTACTAAAACCCATTAATATTTTTCGTGAATAAAAATATCTATATTTTTTTCAAAACTACTCCTACACCCCAAACGCACAGGACGATTTTTTGACGACAAGTGGATCCATGATCTGGAGATGGTAGGTAAAAATTCTGGCCATTTTATAGCTTTTTATCTTCCGATTTCCCACGGGGTGAACGATAGGTTCTGACTGGCACTCTAGTATGAATGATATATTTTATAATGTTTGATACACAAGTTAGTATCTGCCGACAACAAGTACTTGCCTTCGGAAGTAGTCGGTTTTTCGTTCGGAAATCAGAACGTATGATGTGATTTTTTCTAGAGGTCGACGAAAAAAATATATATGCACATATGATCATTCTGAATATTCAACAAAAAACAACTATTTTCCTGACTATTTGCCACGTTGAAAATTGAATTATATCTGTTGAACATCCAAAAGGAGAACATGAAAATAAAATCCTTCTGAAATTGAGAATTGACATTCTCTTTCAAATTAGATAAATATGATGTATAATGATATACAAGTATAACTTACTAATACAGAGTATGTCACGACGAGCTTACACTATCTTTATATTTCTAATCAGTCTGGAGAAATACATGAAAATGTGCATGCTTATATTTCAGAATACGCTCTCTTCATTTAAAACATTTTCAGCAACGCAGTGTTGCCGCTTCTACTAGAAAGTAGTAGCAACATTGATATTTTGAATGGAACACCCTGTATTTTATCGCATTTTTAGATTCTCCCTGAAGAGCTGATTTCATCGATACATCACATTTGGGGTCTATCGAAAATGATTACAGAGATATAGGGTGTTCAAAAATCGAGATTTTTCAACTTAAGGATTTTGTTGTATCGAAACTAATCATTATCGGTCAAAACGGCTCACATGTCCCTATCTCAACTTTTGATTCACTATTTATTGATATTTAATCGGAACAGATACAGGGTGGTTCAAGATTCAGAATTCTGATCACCCTGTATCTGTTCCGATTAAATATCAGTAAATAGTAAATCAAAAGTTGAGATAGGAACATGTGAGCCGTTTTAGCCGATAATGAATAGTTTCGACACAAACAAATCCTAAAGTTGAAAAATCTCGAATTTGAACACCCTATATCTCTGTAATCATTTCCGATAGACCCAAAGTGTAAAGTATCGATGAAATCAGCTTTTCAGGAAGAATCTAAAAATGCGATAAAATACAGGGTGTTCCATTTGAAATATCAATGTTGCTACTACTTTCTAGTCTAGTAGAAGCGGCAACACTGCATTGTCGTAAATATTTTAAATGAAAGCGTATCCTGAAATATAAGCATGAACATTTTCATGAATTTCTCTCCACTGCTTCTCGATATAAAGATAGTGTAAGCTCATCGCGACATACCCTGTATAATTCAGTATTGAAATGAAAATTGAAATGTATGGGAGGAGTATACTTGTATAATCTGACCTTGAAGAGCTTGAAACTTCAAAAAAACATTCATATTAGTGATATGGGAATGTTATCTCTCCCAAACAGGTTATATGACTTTATTCTAATGGATTCATTCCGGATATCAAACCCTCCTCAGATATTAAGGTCTTCACAGTTATTCACGAATAGTTTATGCTATTTATTCTTATTGGTACACTTTGAGATCATAAATATAAAAATGGCAACAAATAATGTAAGATGTCACATGGTACTCCTGTCATATCGATGATTAAAATTTAAAACGTTGATTATTCAGATTTCACATTTCACATTGCTCGGGCCGTTAGTGCCGTGTGTTGGCCGTGGTAATTTTATTAAAAAACGCGCGTTTTTGGAAGGCAGAGGCGTTCTTTAAATAAGCAAAATAGGGTATCAATAAAATGAACTACTATTACTACATACCTTATTTTTTCTATCCAAAGACTTGAACGACAACTGTACATTGCACTTGTACACTGGCGTCGTATAGAACAAATCCTTGATGAGTGCGGTGATGTTATCCAACACGGCCGGCGCTATTCTGATCTTTTCGTCGTCTTTGCTCTTTATCTGGACCTTTTCCAGCGATTTCTTGCATCCTCCCACGCCTCGCGAGAAGAAGGTCAAGCGAGACCGGAAATCCTTCAGCACTGCCGGATCGGCGGTCAGGAAATCCGGACATTGCCTCGCCAATCTGTAGACATATATCTATTGAATACTATACAGGCTGATTCACGGTGGATGGCACATTAGACCTTTCTGGAGAACGCAACTCAGGATTATTCTGAAAAGTTGGTGCCTTGGATAATAATAATAGTTGTGTTCTATCGACCTAAAATATTCTCAGTTTTGCGACGTTGTCGCTTATTGAAAAGTAGCAAGAACTTTGATTTTTCAAATGAAACACCCTGTATATTATTCCATTTTCAGATTCTCCCTGAAGAGCTGTTACTATTGACCTATAACACTTGGGGTCTAGCAGTAATAAATACAGAGTTATAGGATGTGATAAATCGAGATTTTTTAAATCGAGATTTTTCAACTTTAGGAATTTTTTGTGTCGAAACTATTCATAATTGGTCAAAACGGTTTTCATGTCCCTATCTCAACATTTTATTCACTATCAATGGGGGACTTCGCTCCAAGTTGCCAACCTAAAAACCTCTACCTCTGTAGAAGCAATAATATGAAAGTTTGATTACTCAAATAGCTTTATTTTGGTGCAATTCGATTGTAGGCGTCTACTCAGCTTTCTAATGAGAGTTATTCAGAAGAAAAATTAGTTTTTGTGAACTTCACATCTGACTGGTTGGAAATCATGTTGGTGCATCTGCGGTACGTCAATACTGAAATGTCAATACTTTCTTGTGTCACGAGTAAAAATTGGTATATCATTGATTGAATCACTAAATGTTCGAATCACGTTCGAACTTTCGAATAATGATCAAGAAAATCTCATGAGAAACGTGCAAACCTATAATAAACTGGATGTGAGGGTTCCAAAGTTATCTGATCTAGTGCTTCTCTCGACTCGTCGTAATGGTAATCAACATAACATTGTTATCAGGTCTTTATATTTATTGTTGTTCATTCATATTTCCTCACTCCCCATAATAGGTATATCATACAATAATAAATAGTGTGATATTCGAATAGTCTGGAGTTTACAAAAATTAATTTCTTTTCTGAATAACTTCTATTTGTGAGCTGAGTAGAGTCCAACAATCATATTTCATCAAAAAAAAGCTTTTTGAGTAATAAGACTTCCATAATGTTGCTTCTACATTGGTAGATGTTTTTTGGTTGGCAACTTGGAGCGAAGTCCCCCATTATTATTTAATTGAAATAAATACAGGGTGGCTCCGAATTGAGATTTTCGTTCACCCTGTATCTATTTCAATTAAATATCAATTGATAATACATAAAAAGTTAAGATAGGGACATGGAAACCGTTTTGACCAATGATGAATAGTTTTGATACAAAAAATTCTCAAAGTTGAAAAATCTCGATTCTTCACGCCCTATATCTTTGTTATCATTCCCGCTAGACCTCAAGTGTGATAGATCGATGAAATTAGGAGAATCTGTAAATGGAATAATATACAGGGTGTCCCATTTGAAAAATCAAAGTTTTTGCTACTTTTCAATATAAGCGGCAACGACGCAACACTGAGAATTTTTTAGGTTGATAGAACACAACTAATTATCCAAGGCATCAACTTTTCAGAATAATCCTGAGTTGCTTTCTCCAGAAACGTCTAATGTTCCATCCACCGTGAATCAGCCTGTATAAAGCGTGTCTCACTTCACACGCCCTTCCCTCCGAGGGAGGTTGACCTTCACCCATCTGATAACCGGGTGAGACTCATTTTTTATGAAATATTTTTGATTTATAAACACGCCTATGATCCCTATCGAAAAGTGTTCATGGCTATTTCTAATAGACCATTTTATGCATAATGTGGCGCAAATTGGAACTAATTCGGGATATCAAATTAAATATTCACAAGGTATGTACAGATCCTCGCCTCCTCTGACTGTTTTGTGAAACAGTTATATAGTTTCATCTTTATTCATTTCTAGGGATAAACACTAGATTTCTGACATTTGCTGTTTTTTAGGTTATATTGAGGACATTGGCGTATCATACACACGTGATTTCCACATTTAATGTCTCATTCAACTCTTTATATATCTAAATAATGATAATTTTCGAGTTTACGATTTATCAATTTCAGCATAATCTTTATGAGGCAGTGAGCAAATGGGAATATTCTTAGGCAGTAAATTAATTTTGATTTCAGACTAAGCCTTATGGTTGAGAAATGGTGAAAAATTTTATGAAGGATAGGTAGGATATAAACTAATGTGCTCATATGTCATGTGTGCTGTACACAGGGTGACAGAGGAAAGTACATTGCATAGTGCCACACAATAGAGGACACTAAAATAAGGAAAAGTTCCTATGGCAAGGCATTCGGTTAAAAGATACGGGGTATTGAATTTTAATGGAAAAATGTATTGAAGTACAAGGACAACAATTTGAACATCTTCTAAAAACTTAATGTTTTGTTCTAATTATTCATATTTTTCATCATACTATTAAAATGTAATTGTTGACGTATTTATCATTGTTTTTGCGAAAGTTACTTTGGCGCTTTTTTAATAATTTGCGTGCACTGTCGGCTTTTAGATGAATTTGTACTGGAACCATTGCTTCTAGCGAGTTGAACAAAGTATACCTTTCTTAAGTATAAAAGAAGGGATAACAATTTTTTTCCGTCGAAAATGACATACAGCAAAAAAGTTACGACCGATTCAATAGGGATGGAACCCTGTATGTAGCGCCCTCTATCAGTCATCACAAAACTAAGATCATATTTGAATTTAGCATGATAAAAAACCTCTGTATACCACATTTCATCCATTCCTTGCGTCTCTGGCTGAAGATATTCAAAGAAAACCTAAAAAAAATTAAATTCAACACCCCCTATCTTTTTACCTAAGGCCTTGCGGACCCATGTTCATAGGAACTTTTTTTTCTCATTTTAGTATCCTCTATTGTGTGGCACTATGCAATGTACTTTTTTCTATGTCACCCTGTATATTCATGTTGGGAATCATTTTTGCAGTTTTTCACGAACACTCAATATTTCCTGAATGTAGGTATATTTTTCAAATGGTAGGGCATATGCCTCTTCTTATAATCCACCGTTTTAATCAAAACTGTTTCTACTAAAATACATTCAACAACTTGTGGAGTGGATAATATTATGCACAATGAGAAAGTATAATAATATGTGAGTTCGTATTAGTTTTACCTCGAATAAAATATTCGCTGATGTATTTACCAATTTTCCCCATTCGGTCACTTCACTTTCCATGTTCTAAGTTCATTTGCATTTGATGGAAAGTTGACAAATCTAGATTTGTCATCCAACTGATTGATACAGCCAATATACAGCCTAACGCAGCACATTTTACCATCCTTCCCAAACAGAATTGAATAATGTCATATTAAGATCAAGTATGAAATTAAAATTTTGTAAGATCTCTTTTAACGCCTATGAATGTGACGTGACAGCAATGTCATGTCAGGGACGCCAATACAGGAAACCAAAGTAACTAGATGATTACAAGGGAAAGGAGCTATGATCTGTCCGTACCCTGTTAGATGACAAATACGTCAGTTTGCATCAAGGGACCCATGACAACACTGAACATGACAGCACCTTGGCATTCTGTGAAATAACAGAAACGTGAATGTTCGCAATATAGAAAAACAAAATGATGATATCCAATATGCCAAAAGCAGCGCTCAGCGTACAATAATGTTTTTTCATCACCTTCACTCTTATGATATCCAAACAAATTTTGTCTCAACAAAGTCATTAATACTCGATCAACGGTTTTTTGCAGGCAAGCCAATACTGTTATTTTTGTAATTGAAATAACATGAGTATGAGGGTGATGAAAAAATATTGAAATTAATTAAAAATAGTCATGAACACTTTTCGATAGGCAAGCTATCATAGGCGTGTTTATAATTCATAAACATCTCATAAATTCTTTCTCAATTCGTATAGAATAAAGAGGGGCTTACATATGTGATGTATGTTAAATTGAAATAAAATATCGAATTCGTATAATAATCACGATCGAGAATAGACCCCTGGTTACCAGATGGGTGAAGGTCGACCTCCCACGGGCTCTTAGACTATCAGCTATTAGTCGTGCAATTCTTACCAAATTACCGGTACGAATAGCCATCAATATGATCAGTTTTTCAGCGCCGAACATCATTTTGGACAGTGCCGTGCGTTTTTACTAAAATGAAGAGGGGTAAATTTTGTATGAAATCATAAAAGGAATATTTTTATAGGAAAATTAACTCATAATATCGTTGTTCATGGTTTCAAACCCCCATATGTGAATTTTCATATGATTTCTATGATGGGTTTCAAAAAGCAGGCATTTTTGTAAAGGTAAATTATTATTCAATTGGAGTTCTTTTTTCATACCATAATTTTCTACCTACTGGAGCTATTGGACGTTCCAAAATTTGCAGTTAATCGAATTCACTATATTTTCGAGGCAGAAAATGAAGTATATGAAGTCAATCATGTTAATTAGGAATGATTATATGATTTCATAAAAAATCTACCCCTTTTTATAAAGGCACTGTACTGTCTATAATGATGATTGTCTCGGAAAAACTGATCATATTGATGGTTATTCATACCGTTCCAAGTTTGGTACGAATCGCACGATTAATAGCTGAGCTATAGAGGGTGGCCGTTTAAAGTGAGACAAGTTGTAGATCACGACTATCATTTATAGACAAAAACTTGAAGCCACCTTTTTCAACAAATGACTAGACATAAGTGATGTAATGCGCATGCTCAAAATTCTTGTCAATGACAATGTTGACGTTAACTTGACATTTCACATTGAAAATGGAATAATGTACTCCATTGTGTTATTATTTCAAAAAAATCTCATCGCCCAGGGAATGTCAAACAATGACAGCTGTCTAATAGATGGGCATTACTTGAGAGGAAACCAGATGGCTACAAGACAAAGAAATAAAAAATGTCACTGTTATTTGTTACAGCCTTAGAAAAATTATAGTGTATAACTCGCACGGAATGCTAATTTCCCAATCGAATGAGTGCAGCATGAGCCGTTCACTATCATTCCGCGCTTGTTAAACAATATACTATACTGCATGAAAAAGGAGACTACTTTTTTCAAACAAACTATCCAATCTCGCCAAAATAACCCTTTCTCCTGAGAAGTATATTTTTCGAAAAATTACTTGTGAAAAAATTTTTAAAAAAAGTTACGCCTCGCACGACAATGTATGCACCTTGTTTTCGACTAGGTGATTCCATTTCAGTATGGTTTCGATTGCTGTCATCATAAAAATTTTTTCAAGGTGAAATACTCGTTTGACTTTGTTGTAACAATGTTGTGAATTTCAGAATTGACATATCTAATCAATTCATAAACAAGTCGGAGATTATTATGAGAAGTGGAGAGAATTTGGCACCTCACTCATTAATTTGTTACTGGAACCAAGGGTAATCAACTTCTCTGCAGATAAGAAGTCAAAACTGTTAATAATAGTGTATCTTCTATATTTACAAGGGAATTTGATATAATAAGATATCTGTAAGTAGTGCATATGGAAAGATAAAACACAAACTCCCTTATTGGAAGAATACGCCATCCAAATATAATAGTTATGTCTTCGATATATTGACGCATGCGCATCACTTTTCTAGACGCGTGAGGATTTTCGTTTTTTTTTTTTTTTTGCCTTCATTTAGCGGTGCTTGCGGCCCATACTGATAATTAATAGATACATGCCTGTGGAAGGAGTACAGAAGGCATTCTACCGAAGTGAAGTCGAGGTTGGGCATTTTGTCAATGTCGCCATCTTCCGGGGGCATAGGCATGTATTTCTGGAAGGAAAATGAGAAATCTGTGAAAAATGTGAGAGACAAAAACCTACCTACCAAATATTCGTACTACCAAAATATGGCGAATCAAGTGCAGTCAATTTGGTACAGAGTTGCTCAGTTTGGGCGCTATAAGACCTAGAGAGTTAAAAGTTTGAAATTGTTTTCTATATCATGAAGTTAAAACGGATTATTATTTTGTGCTGAGATTTGGTATGTTTAACGAGACTAATAAATTCCATATCAAAATACCGATTAATACCCATCAATTTTTTCATTCCGGTCATATCCACCTTTGGATGCTTTTAAAAGAGAAAATTGATTTGTATAGGACTGGTGATTTGTTGAGTATCTTTATGCAATTTTAATCATAGTTGAAATTTCTAGTAATTCAATTGTTTTGTGGAGTGCTATTTGCAGGAATTGAAAAAAAACAATACCTACCTTCCCTCCCTATCCTCCCTAGCATTATGTTTCTCGAACATTACAGGGATTCCCTTTCGTAGGCTTCAAGAGATTAAAAACATGAAAAGTCTATTCTGAAGATCCTTTTTTGGATTATGAATATATTTTTTTTTCCATTTCTAATTTGTATTTTGAGTAGTTGATTGTTGAAATAAATAGTTTGAAAAACTAAAATTACACGCTTCTATAGATAGCCAAACTAAAAAAAGTAAAACATCTATCTATAAAAAAGTCCAAAGTGGTATAAGTTATAACATTTATAACTCGAGAACGGCTGGACCAATTTTTGTATTTGATATTTGGATTTCCCTTAGTCCGGAATAGGACGAGTTTTGTAATAATTATGATCCGATTCCATTCAAAATTTTGGATCTGGGAATTTCGGGGCCGGGGATTAAGACTCTTTTGTCAAAATTGGGAAATTAAAGATGGCGGACCCAATATGGCCAACGAGTTTTCCAATTTATTATGATCCGATTCTATTTAAAATTGGTAACGGGGGCTTTTGCCTTCCTTGGATATTTTAACCGTTTATCAGAATTCCAATCATTTCATACGAGTACTTAGTGCAAGACACTACCGTCTCTCTGGATGTAACTCTTTTTTGATATCAAACAAGCATACTTGGTGGATCTAAAAATCGCTCATCTTTTCAAGGTCCTTAAAAGGATATTGGAAAAATATATTAAATTAAGCTATTACCATCGGTCCTTGATAAGTTTCAATGCAATTCGACTTTGTGGGTCAAAATCACCCGTCTCTCTGGATGTAACTATTTATAAGAGTCCTTGGTGCAAGACACTGCCGTGTCTCTGTGCACAAAAATCATTGTAAGAAATTATATGAAGGATTAAAAACGCACATTTTGAATTTTGGTGGCGGAACATTTGAAATTTTGGTGGTGGAACATTTGGAATTTTGGTGGTGGAACATTTGGAATTTTGGTTGCGGAACATTTGGAATTTTGGTGGCGGAATATTTGGAATTTTGATAGCGGAACATTTGAAATTTTGGTGGCGGAACATTTGGAACTTTGGTGGCGGGATATTTGGAATTTTGGTGGCTTGACATCATTCACCATTTTATTCGAGAAAAAAAATCGCTCATCCTAAAAATCAAGTTCAGGATGATGGAACAAAACTATTGAGTGATGCTATTGTCATCAGTCCTTGATAAGTGCGCGAAGTTTCAATTCAATTCGACGTTTTGAAGTGGGTCAAAATCAAGTTCGAAGATTCCATTCATACAAACATAGATAGCAAGCTAATAAAAGCGTGAAAAAACGTTATGTTGTTTACCAATAGTCATACATTGCCCAGATTGAACAATTATAATGTAGAAATTGTATGAAGTACTAAATCCTTAAGAAGGCACATTCATAATTTATTGAATTGTTAAGTATATAGTAAGTTTAAGTTGAGGAGAAGTAGGAAATAAATGAAAATAATGAGAAAATCCTGTTGTATATCTGAACCACATCAAAGGGCATTTCACTGTTATTTGAGCGTTTGTTTCATTTGTTGTGTATCACCTTGTGCAAAGAGCAAACTGTTGAGTACCTATAAAAGTATCAGAATGAATCATAAATAAGATTATGATTACTTAAAGCAAAAAGTAAATGGGCATAATTATTATGAGAGTCCACTTTAAAGTGCAATCCTCGCGTATTCCGTCAAATTCTACTTTGGCTGATCTCATCATAAGTAGAATATTGTTTGATCATCGAAGAATTGGACTGACGATTGTCCATGACCCAAAAACTACCAATCATCACCCTTTCAAAATAACTGTTTTATCCCCGCAGGTTCGAAACCCATGCAAGTAACGAGAAAAATAAAAGGTGTGAGATCTTAATATCATTTCAACTTGACAGTACAACCTACAACGCATTTTGGTTCAAACTATGCATTTTTTTCACATTTTTATAGCGGCATAGTTGAGATATTTGATTGCATGAAAAGATCTGGGACACCTGTTATTATTTGATTTGGAGGTAAATTTCAATTTTCTAATTAAGTAATTTTAAATAATCATAGCTTCACAAATTCATATTACATCCATACTTCAACCATTAATATATTTTTTAGGAACCTAATTCAAAGAATGAGTACCCACCTTCAGTTTGTCAAATATCTGAACAACATAACATGATGGAGTGTCCAATTTACCACAGTGCATACTGAGTTCTGCAAGTTGTTTGAGAAACTGATACTGTATGAGATTCCCATCGTTTATTTTGGCAATGTCATCCCAATGGCCCAGTATCTGGTCACAGTAGTACTTCAGAAATTTTGTAGATTCAACATTGGCCTGGAAATGAGAAAGTTCAAAATGGCGTTTACAATTATTGTAAATCATCTTACAGGAGTTCAAAAACTACTCGGTGGCTATCTCAAAGGAATTTCAAAATTAAAATTCTCAATTTCAAAATAATGGCTGGGCGCCAGGTTGAGGTATTCAATAGCATTCTCACACGCAGAGTATAGGGCGTCCCACATTTAATGGTACACAGAAAAATAGTAGATTCCTTGGTTGAAAATATTGCGATTTTGCAACACTCAGCTCAGTTGAAAGGTTGATAATAATCAAGATACAGGATCTCCGTGAAAACACACACAATGCAGACAAATCATATGAAAATTTTATAGAAATCAAGTGTCAAAGCACTTTCATCGCATTTGTTTTTGTCAAAACCTACTTTATAAAATTCACAATTGCAAATCAAAATTGAACAAATAGAAATTATCAATTAGGGATTTTAATTTTTGTATTCCCGGGATAAATACCTAGATCTCGGAATCCCGAGATTAACCTCAATATTTTTTAAACTTCAGCGTTTTGCTTAGTGAATATAAAAAATGCCGTAAGAAACAACAACTGTCTACAGACAAGTCGTTTAAGCGCTAGGTATCTAAGTTTGCTCGTAAATGAGGCTGCTGAAGAAAAGGCTCTTTCAGCTTCCCCACTTATAGATGGTACTGTCATTAAATATTCGTAAGACTGTTGCAAATTTAAGCCTCTCGATCATCCATTTCCGTAAAGTGACATTAATAATTTAATTACGTAAAGAGTAGTGAAAAGACGGCCTTTAGGATTTTTCTAGTGATTGCCAATTAGGTTTACTTTTAGTAGTTACAGTGCCTACGGCCTTTTGAATTTTCCACTTCAGGATTGAAATAACACGCGGATAAAGAAAAAATTGATAAAACAGATTGCAATTTCATCGTACAAAAATCAAAAAATTTTCGGATCTCGATTTATCGTTTCCGGGATTTTCGAGACGAAACGGATTGGATACCTCTTTGTAATTGCAAAAAACTGAAAAAAAGAAAAATAAAACTCATAATTATATTACTTACGCTAAAAATAGGTAATGCATGTTGAACACACATGATTATGCAGTCAGCATTCTGACTCCCTTCATCATGAGGGTCAAAATCTTTATCTAGTTCTGCTCTTTCTGCAATCAAGTTCACTAACTCTTGTTGGCCAACAATGGTTTTGTTTAATTTTGAGGCCGTGAGGTATGGCATCACTGTCAAAAATTCAGTTGCAGTTGAATCCTGAAAAATCCAGTGAAATGTCGCAAATGCCATGAGAGGGACAAACAAATAGGTGGTTTCATGACTGGGCGATTTTGGCTTTGGGGATGCTAGTGGTGAAACGTGTGATGGTATTATTGGTCACATGTTATCGCGAGCTTCGACCACTCACATAAGTACTATCTAGACCGCCATGAGTCATATCTCTGCAATCCAAAAATATCGGGTTAATCGCTCGCCTGAAAACGCTTCAGCTCAATGCGCAACTACGCAAGAACTCTCAAATGAGGTTGTACACACTAGGTGAATTTACACCACAAACCTATTTCATATTGAACATTCCGTGTATAAAGAATAGTATTCGATGCAATCATTCATTATTTAAAATAATCGCAAATATATTTTTTTTATAACGAAATTCGGCACCCTCGAAGAAGCCAGCTTCGATGACGTCATGAAGCGGACCGAAAGTCATCGTTATCTGAATTCTGGCTTTCGCATAAAAAGAAGTACCATATAGTTCGACGCTGCCAGACTTGTAATTACCTTATGAGAGTCAATATGACTAATGACAACAGTATTCACATTCACAGAAGACAATAGTGCGACCTGGTCCCTAATAATCACTTAATGAATACTTATATACTTGTAAGATGCTTCAGTACCAATAAAAATATTCTAGTATTCCTCATAATGATCGAGATTTGATTAAAACCCAAATTATTTTGTGGCACTGGCAACAGCGTGATGACTAGAGTTCCAAGAAATACAAGAAAAGAAGTAGACTAAGTACATTGTAAACCAAACTTCCTAACGTCACCTTCATCTTCAAAGCCTTGTTTCATCTAGTCAAGATGCGAATATGTCAAAGATATTCCTCTTATTATCTGATAAGTATTCAGCCCAGAAAATTCACTAGAGTCTAGGGGGAGCACCTTCTGAGGAGGCGAACTTTTTCCATAATTTAGATTGAAATGACAGCGAGTCGTGTTTCTTGGTATTCGAAAACCTGAGAAAGATTAAGACATAAGAGGTCCTAAATTTGAATGATTCGTGTACCTCAGTTCGATCTCGTGGGTGGCTTAGCTTTTTTTATGGCATTACCGGTCCAGATAGTAGTTTAAGTCGGTGGCCTCAACAAATCGCCCAGTAATAAATAAACGCGCCTTAGTTCTTGTGTCATATCTCATCGTCTTCAGGGTTGCAAGGAAGATACATAAAATAATGAAAAAAAAAAGTTATGTCAAAAAATTATAAAATTACAAGAGGACTATTGAAATAAGGTTAGAATGAAATGCCTGATTTCTTCTCATTTTCTGGGTTACCAACATAAAATTTTCATTATTTCGCAATGGAAGACTGACAAGGACAGAAGAGACATTGTTAACAAGGGGCTTCTGGACATTCATCAACTGTGCTACCTATATCAACATTAGGTTTGTTCTCGTTCGAAATATAAACAGTCCGAAACCTTCAGGAGCATGCGCAGTTTCACAGAACTGTTGGCATTTTTCATGTTCCGTGGATCTGCGCATGCTTCCGATGGTTTCGGACTGTCTATTTTTCAAACGAGAACAAACCTACTATATCAATTGATTTTTCCACAAAATCAAATGTTTTTTTGTAGCAAAATATATCCAAATAGGGGAATAAAAAAACAATTGAATGACAAAACTGTATGGGTTTGTTATAGTTGATTAATTTCATTTATAGGTGATTATAATTATATTGGCTGACAAAAAAATGAAACGTCCAGTAGGAAGTGTTACAGTTATTTTACTTTCTCGTGCAATTATATATTTTTAGATATTCATCAATTGAAAATTATGAAACTTACCTGAACGATTTTCTTGCCTTCCTCTAATAACAAATCATGTATATCTGGTGTTAACTTATCTTCTATTTTGATTAGTTTCTTATACAAAAATTGTATGCATCGTTCACGAACCAAAGTTGCTTCAGGAGAAGAATCATCATTATTAATAGCATTGATAACTGACTGAACTACTTTCAATGGGTCTTCTTTGAATAGCTGTATCAAGGAATTACTTGCTGTATTGCATTCAAGTTCATCAAGTTGATATAATTGTACCAGAATATTTGCAACTTTGGTGAGATGTTCTTTAGTATCTTTACATAGCAGTGGTAATACCTTTGTAGCACAGATCCGAATCTTAAATAAGAATAGAATGTAACAGATTATGACATAAGTATTGAAGTTGACTTACCGAAGGTTCGTCATCCTCACAGAGATCCATCATAGCATTTATTGCTGATCCTTGCAAATTAGGAAAATGTTTGAAAAACTTGGAAATTATCTGGGCGGACAACTTCTTCTCTTTTTCATTGCCTTTTGTTGCTTTGAAGCAAAATAGGTAATCATCTGCATGCTAAATAAATATATGAAGTTAAAGATATGCCAGGCATCCTGACTTGTGCAACAGGCAATGTCTCAATTATGATGGAAGTTGAAAATAAGAAATTTTTGGGTGATACTAAAAAGCTACCTAACCAAATACTTCCTAACATTCAGTTAGTCTGAGAAAACCAAATATCAACTGAAGACTTTTACATACAATTTAATATTTAGGATTAGCTTTTTGAAAGGGGTCCTTTCTCATAGAGCCCAATTAATCCAGTCAAGGAGTACACCTGACATGGTTTGGGGTAGTATTTTTTTTTTTAAATATTGTTTGGGATAGTACAGAGATGCCAAATCCAATTTTTCGACCTCGGACCTTCCGGATCACCGCCATATAACGGTTAAACGGCTAAAAAATTTGCCTCGCCATTTTTGACCATGAAGGAGTACCTCTTCAACAAAGGCAACTCCGTTAATTTCTAAAATTCATGCAATTTCCTAAATAATGAGCTAAATATGATAACTGTTTGCCTGATAATTTACGAGATACAGCTTTTCAAAGTTGGTCACAAAAGGGTATCATTCAATGAGGAACAAAGACACAAACATAATGGTCTCAATAAAAAGTTAAGAAAGAGAGTAGGTATATTATCATTTAGTATTATTCCAAATTGAATACATTTCCGTTTTGTTTGAACCTCCAAGGAGGTCCAGGTTCAAGATACTTTTCCTGGCCCTTCCTGCCCTCGTTGAAAAATTACTCCTTCATGGTCAAAAATTGGGAAAGTGCAAATTTTTATCCGTTCAAACGCTATATGGCGGTAATACGGAAGGTCGCCGAGGTCGAAAAATTGGATTTGGCATCTCTGTACTATCTCAAACAATAAAAAAAACCTACTACCCCAAACCATGCAAGGTGACTGGATTAAATCATATATTAAGGCAAAATATCCCTTGGCATAGGCTTCGCACTGGTGAAAAATAATTACATCAAAATCAACACTCTTACATGCATTGCTGAAACCATCTTGGAAAATGGCGACATATTTTAAATTTTTGAGCAATATTTCATCATTAATGGTAATGGTGGTAATGGAAAGTATTGAGAAAAATCACAAAGAGACTCAAAGAGAAGTAAAAAACATATTTTTTTCTTGGAGAACATACCTGAAATGATAATCTATTATATAGCACAGAAAAAGTTTAAAGAAAAAACAATGTTTTTTCTTGGTATATTCACGGAAATAACATCAATGACCTCTGATTTAATGAACAGAACCATTGCAAATAGAAATGCTTCAGACATTTTTCCAAGTATCAAAGTAAATTGGCAAATACATATTCTGATGCTTTCTTTAGACCCAGAGAATAAAAAGCATAATTCTCAATACAAAATCCATGAATTCAAAAATTTTCATACATATTGAAAGTCCCACTAATCGCCTTTTGAGCATTGAGAATACTTCTCATGGCAGAAGCCATACTTTCCGCAAAATTTACAGTTTTTAGTAGACTCCTAACTCCCCCCCCCCCCTCTACTTTGTCGATTCCATAATCGACAACTGAGTACAGAACTTGGAAAATGAAGAAAATATCTACTCATAAAAGCCCCTATAATAAATAGATTATTAGAATACGCAAACACAAGCACAACTCAATTACTTCATGCCGAAATAATTATTATGTAGGTCACTTCGAGAGGGGGGCAATCAGTACAAATTTTTGGTCAAACAAATTCGTTCAACAGGGTTAAGTTGTGTTAAGTGCCTTCAAATTGAAATTCAGGTTTCATTCATGTGGAGGAAGGTGAATAAACATCCAATATTATATAATCATAAAGATACTTTTTTATATAAAATCAATGATTTGAAATATTTCCATGTATATTTTAAATCTAATATACAGAGTGGGCCACGAAACAGAGGCTCTGTAGGTCGCCAAAACCGGATTATGAAAAGAATCTGAAACATGTCAACTACGTTTTCGAGGGGGACATCGTCCTACAATATTTTCAGCCCTGCGGCGTTGCCGCTGCTAACGAAAAGAAGCAACAACTTGTTATTTCAAATGGAACACCTTGTATTTCATTGCATTTTTAGATTCTCCCCGAAGAGCTGATTTCATCAATGCATCACACTTGGGGTCTAACTGTAATGGTTTCAGGGATATAAAGTGTTCAAAATCGAGATTTTTCAACTTTGACATTTTTTTGTGTCGAAACTATTCATTATTGGTCGAAACGGCTCTCATGTCCCTATCTCAACTTGTGATTTACTATCTACTGACATTTAATTGGAACAGATACAGGGTGATCAGAATTCTGAATCTTTTCGTTGATGATTATAACTAAATAAATGTATATAACAACGTTTCCGGGTATCAGCTATTGTAATAATTTAATAATTTCAATAATTCTGCTAAACATTTAGTATCTAGATAAATATGGTTGACACCAATACAGGTGCTTTGTAAGTAATCAATTCTGAACACCCTATATTTCTGTAATCATTCCCGCTAGACCCCAAGTGTGATGCATTGATGGAATCAGCTCTTCAGGAAGAATCTAAAGACGCAATGAAATACAGGGTGTCCAATTTGAAAATCGAAAGTTGATGCCCTTTCCGCTTCAAGGTTTCAACTTTGGGAAATGGTAGTTACAGAAAAATTTGTCCCCCGTCAAATTTATATCGACCTGTCCGAGTGATTTTCAATTATTTCAACGACTTCGGAGATAAGGGGGTGACAAGTTTTAGCTGGGACACACTGTATGTATAATTCAGTGGGAAACGTTTTTCAGAAATCTCTGCTATCAATTCATCACTAGCAACACCAGTCAGATGTACTTGACAAGCCCATTGAGCACATTTGTCGTCAACCTGGAAATATGTGTCCAAATTTCTTACCAAAACTCGTTTGTCTATAGAACGGCAAAGCTTTGGAATTCTTTGCCCGAGACTGCCAAGAATTGAAAAAAATACAATACCTACCTTCTCTCCCTATCCTTCCAAAGTACGCACAATATTCCTCTAACATAATTGGGATTCCCTTTCGTGCACTCCAAGAGATAAAAAAATCTGCAGAAGGTTAATGATAATAATATATGGCTTAAAATAAGATATGCCGCCATTTTTTAATGAGGCGGCTGTAGCACAGTATGAAGGAATATGGATTTCAGGTATTTTATTTATTACTGACTACTGGAACTATGCCTATGCCCTTTTTTAAGTGATTTTTTCCATGTCGCAGGTATAATCCTCATATAAGGAAGGAATAATATGGAAGTGGGTAATACTGCACAATAGGAAAATCTCTCGAGAAAACGCCTCAGAATTTTATTCACCAATTTATGACATTGGAAAGTCAAAAATAAAATGATGAAACCACATAAATCCTCAAATTGAGTCTCTTCGAAAAATATTTAAAAAATATGGTTTTCATACAATAAGGATGTTCTGTACATAATTTAGAATTCTAAAATTACAACTTTGTAGTTCCATAGTTTTGTGCAGCTGAAGCACTCTCAATTATTAATCTACCACAATGGTGTCTCCAATGCTTCTTTATCAAGAAGGTGGTAAGCATAAAGCAGCATGCCTTTGAATGTGTTTTTTGAAATGTCTCATGTCCCTCATACCTTGTTGACTACTATTACACCATACTGAGAAATCTGGCTCTTATGGTGGAGATATTGCCTGTTGAACAAATTTTGGTACACTTGGTATATACCTAATAGTCTATTGAGAATTGAATAAAGATTCATGTTCTTCTTTTTAAACTGAAGTAAATAACTAAAACTAGGGATCTGAACACAAAGTCATCTCCACAATTTAAATAAAATGTGGAGATCCATGGTCACTAACCACTCCATGGGATATGGAATTCTACCACAGATTGAATAATTACAAGTTCATTCCAGAGTAATGAGACTATAAAATTATTCAATCAAGGAAAATACAGTACAAAATTATTGCTGATTATGAACAATGCTTTAAAAATATCTACTGGGATATTTTTTGATAATCCCATTTTTGATGTTTTCTACTACATCTTCAATTGTATTTCCAAATAGTCATTTGAATTTTGGAAAGAATCATTTCATACTTGAATTACATAGTAACTATTTCATTTGTATTTCAGAAAGCTTCAGGTTGATTTCAAGAAGTATCAATTGAATTTAAAATTCATCTTTCCATTTTCAAATCCATAAGCATTACTTGAATATTCAAACTATTACTTAGACTTCAAATAACGTCAACATGATTATAAAAAGTATCAACCATGTTTAGTGAAGCATAATTATTTGTATGTAACATAGGGGCTCTAATAAGTGATTGAAACGCTTTTGGACCCTGTCTCTTAAAAATCATTTGATAGCAATAATAATGATCCACAAAATCAATTTTGAAGACAATATATTTGTGCTATCATCTACTGAATTTTGATGATTTGATGTTGAGCACCCAAGCAATCAGTTTTTCCAAGATAAGCAATTATCACATACTATGCAGTGTTCAGATATTTGAAAAGGTGTAAATTAGTTAGTTATGTTAGTTAGCAAAATTTGCTATACTTAATTGAGTACCAATTTGTTACTATATTGTTTAGGAACTATATATCATTTAATGTGTTATTCAATGGGTTTTTCAACTATTATAGTGATATTGTGATATAAATGAATTTTGATGAGGTTGTAACTAATACAAATGGAGCATTGGAGCACCACTCAGAGCACCATGACAAAATGAACATAATAGTTATATGTATCAAGAGCAGAAACTAGGCAAATATGGAACACAGCATACCTATAGGTGATAGACCATGGTACACCTAAGTATCTTAAACATTAATTTCAAGTTAAATGCAAATTATGCACAACTGCTTGATACTGATCTTGGGACTTGTTTATTTAGGCAAATTCTGGATGTGACTGGCAGAGATCAAATGTTGCTCCAGAAAATAGTAAAATTATCATCACTTCACACATGCTGAACCAGGCACTTAACTCTCAAGACATGCATGAAAGATTGACCAATACCAAAGATCTAAAATTCTCAAATTTTTCCAGCCAATCAGACTTGAACAAGGACATGAGGCACTGAGGTGGATTCATGACAAATCAAAATTCAGTTTTCAAAAGAATGAATATTACAGGAATTGTGGAAGTTGGGAGTTCATAATATAACTTCTCTAGTACATGATTTTTCATGAGTGTTCATGCCAAACATTATTTCAATTGTTTTCAAGTTCAAGTGCATTTTACACTTGCTCAAGATCAGGTGGAGATGAACTACACTGGTGTGGAATGCACTTTTAATATGAATACTTGAATACAAAATTTCATAACATTTCTCCAAAACAGGACATTTTGCTAACCACCAATGCTATGGTCAAGTCAATTCAGAATTTAATTAGGACTAGAAAAGTCCTTCACTTTTCCCTGGACTTTTCCTGTAGAAGAAAGGTCCTATCCTACTGAAGAAGTCAGCTTGAAATTGGAAGTTTCTACTTGCTATTTAATAAATCTTTGATTCAAGTGTATTTAACATATACTGAGCAACATGTATATATATATTTGGAATTAAATTACATGGAGATGTATCCCAATAGGGCTAAAAGTACCCTAGGAATAATCCTTCAAATTGGGATAAATAAATAATTATTCAAGAATCAATTTTATAGGATCCAAGGAATATTCTATATATTTGATAATTTCATCTGAAAGGACTATCTTTCCTTGAATATTTGGAGAAAAATACGATAACGCTCTAGAATTCTAACCTTAGAAATATTTTCCTTGGCGTCTGACAAGATATTGTATTTTTCATACAATTCCTCCAAACTGTCTGCCATTTGGGATCAGATCAACTTCTCATCCACCAATTATTGAATTATAATGTGTTATCTAAAAGCCAATGTGAAGTTGTTAAAATTGTAAAACACCGGTGAATAATTATTTAATCACGAATATCTCATCATCAAACGTGTTTACTCAATTTCCGACATTTTGAAACTTACTACGAAAGAAAGTCTTCTTCTTTTTCCTTTAATTGCAGTTTGAAATCTTCTGATTCTTCTTTTTCTTTAGATTTTATGTTTACGTTGTCGACCGTAATGTTTCAATAATACTTCAATAGATGGCACTGATCATCACCCGATCCAAGATTGGTAGAACTGATGATTTTATACAAATTATAATCAGTTCTACCAACCTTGACCCGATCACTACATAGGCAACCATCCTTTAGTAATAACCATGCGTTGTACCAACCTTTAGGGTAACTGCTGGATTGGTTGGGATTAGAGTCACTAGATGGTATTAGTTAGATAAAATAACACCCAGCATTGAGTATTCGTATGTATATGTACAAGGTGTCATCTTATATTTTAACCCCTACCTACAGCTTCAATTATACGAGGTGGAAAAAACATCAAATACGAAATTTGTAATGTTTCATCTGTACTGTCTTTTGTTATTCGAATTTTCTCAAAAACCATGGTTTGTTTGGCAATATCCCCTCTTTCAACATCTACCGAAGATGTTTTGATAAGGAATATCGGAGGTGCAATTAAAAAAATTGATTGAAAAATAATTGTGGTAGGTAGGTACCCTATTAAAAACAGTTGTTTCTATAATATATTCCGATTTTATACATTTGTTTCGAATGCGAACTTTCTATTGCAACTTTAAGTTTTTAAATATTGTTCATTATCTACGAAAATTCTGTAATATTGAAAACCGTCCTCAACTTTGATCAGGTACATGAAGTATTTAAAAGGAATATTCTCAGACATATTATGAACATGATAAAAATTATACAATTTGAGAAATATACTTCGAGAATTCGCATTCTCTATCTGATAAATATATTAATTCTTCTTCGGTATATTCAAGAAAACAACTAATATCTTATTTCTTTATATGTATAAATTTTTTTTATGTTCATAATGTATGTGAGAATAGACCTTTTCAATAATAATATACTATCATACCCAAATCAAGGGGTTCAAACTTTGACTTTGACATCATTTTATTATACTGAAAAAATTCAATGAAATGAATCTCGCTTCTAAATGATTGAGCGAGATTATTATTTTCTGAAGAAAATCATATTTTTGTCCATAATTAGCGATAATTATTATTGATTGAATGATAGTAGCATGATAAAGCTATACTGGTATCAAACAGTTTTGTCGAAGTCAAATTGTTTTTAATATTAAAAAAAAAAAATTAAAAATATCAAAATCTAAAAGTTGCAATTGAACGTTCAAATTTGAGACAAATGGGTAAAATCGGCATAGAATATTTATTTGTTTTATAGGCAGAGCAAAGCGTAGCGTCATAGCCGAGCGTTGCGAGGCTAGGAATTCAGCCAAGGCAATCTACTTTGCTGCCATGTGAAACACATTTTTTTTTCTAAATGTTATAAAACCAATTTTGTGTATTTTTTTTATTGAAAACTCCATCATTTTGTGTTCACCCAACCCACACTTTGCATAGCAACAAACTTTTTCTGCCTAGGCAGAGAAAGTACACCTTTGCAGCCTGTTAAGTTTCATAGTCATATAAAAACCATGCCGTTTGGGTCAAAAATAACTTTTCCCAGTAAACAATATTGAAATGCAAACAAAAAGCCTGTTTTCAGCGAAAAATTCGAAAGTTCATCTCTGTGGTCAGGTTATAAAATGTCACTTTTCATAAATTACTTTTTTCCGACGGACAAAAAGTGAGTACTTTTTTCCCGGATATATATCAGATATATGTGTACACTGTTGATGGCTTTTGTTGTTTTATAGTTCCGAAAAATAAGCCACTAACACCGTCTCCGAGAATGAACTGCAAGTCCTTTTATCTTCCATTCGACTTCACGGTTACGTAAATTACTAAACAACCGTTAAATTCGCAATTCATAAAAATCAAATCACAGAATGAGACTGACAGATATTTGATTACTTCAAAAGAATGATAAAGATGCCAGCAACGCAGGTGTCATTACTGTTAAAACTTCAAATTTTACGTCGATGAGTTTCTGAAATATAATGTGATATCTTCTCAATATTGATTCGTCCCTTTTTCTGTCACAGAAAATGATAGTATATTCCACACAGCACATGTATGTCCGATGTACGTACAATGTACGTCCACGTCGGATCGTAAGGACGTCCAATGGAAGTACTCGAGTGGACGTTTAACATCCTATGGACGTCCACTGGATGTCCTGATGACACCACTTTGGACGTACTGTGTATGTCTTCATGTGGATGTACAGTGGATGTTCATATTTGGACTCACAATGGATGTACATGTCTGAGCATCCATTGGACGTACCAAATTGGACGTTAAACGTCCAATGAAAGTCCATTGGATGTCTTGAGGACACCACTTTGGACGTACATTGGATGTTTACATGTGGGTGTATAATGGATGCTCATCTTTGGGAATCAAATGATGAAAAATCAGTAGGTGGCAAATATAAATTCTACTATTGAGATATATATTTGGTGTCGATTGCATATATATAAATATATTGTTGATTCATGTCTTCTTCAGTGCACTTCAAATTCTTGTTTCTGTAAAAAAAGAGAAATATTATAAATTGCTATATAGGTAGAAATCGATTGTCTAAACCCCAAATGGCCCAAATCCTGTTCAGCTTAACTCTGACTGGTGAATGAAGCCTTATTTACATTGCTATATACTTAGGTACTTCTTCTATCAAGCCGCCTAATAAAAATCAATAACAACCTGTAGGACGATAAAGCATAAGATTATTACTATATTAGATAATATATCAAGTCACATTCGAACATGCATGCTTTCATACCTACTTTAAATGATCTGGTCCTGAATATTCAGCATTCCACAATTCATCACAAACACGACACATCATGTTTACGGTCATTTACCAGCTGAAATGCAATGGCATCAGAATCACGCCAGACGCTATACCGGCTACTCTACCGACCGATCTGACCTTCTGCCTCCCCTCCACGTGGCTGAAAAATCAATAGTCTTACGTCCATCTCTGAACGTACAATGTACGTTCATTCAACGTCCATAAACCTTCAGATTTAAAATGATTTCATACAGACATTTACTTTGAACAATTATTTATATACATATGAATATAATATTCATTCTTCATCCATTAACGCTTGAACTCAGAATGGCCGTTAAATGGACATCCAATGTAAGTTTAATTTGAATCATCCAATGTACGTCCGTCTCTGTACGTACAATGGATGTTGATCAAACGTCCACGAGAGTTTTAGTCCTTGAGTTGACATAAAATGGATGTCCAACGGACGGTAATTTTGAAACATACATTGTACATCCATCTTTATAAGTACAATGAATGTACATTCTACGTACATGCGTGGTTGGACATTGAGTGGACGCCCACTGTACATACAATTTGAAGCATCCAATGATAATCCATGTTTGTACGTACATTGGATGTCCATTCAATGTCCATGGACGTTTGGAATTGAAATGAACCTAAAATGGACGTCCAATGGATGTCATGTGCTGTATGGGATATACACAGGAAAAATATTAGATTTTAGCTCACGGTTTTTTGTCTCTCTCCGCTACACGTCAGGAGACAACACAACCTAGAGCTATAATCTACTACTTTTTTCCCTTGTATAATAAATATCTATTTAACTTTGACAATAGCAATGAAAATGAAATACTGATGTGAGTAAATGATCCTATCGAAGATGATAATGGCAGTAGAGAGTCTTAGAGTCGGAAGAAGATGAAGCTATCATATCCAGCGCACTATTTTCACAATATTTATGTAGAATATTATTATACTCATAGAAGGACATTCACCTATATCAAATCATGCTGTCAAAATAATAATCCTGCATGATCATTCCTAGATTTTTTTGTTAGCTCTTTTTATATAGGTGAGTAAATAATATGTCCCATTTCCGACACTTCACTTTTTCTAGGAATATCCCGAAGGGCTTCTGTGGGAAAAGGGTGGAATTTATTTGTCATAACCTTTATATGTATATAGTTAATATGATGAACGTGTCCGTGTGTCATTTTTCCAGAACTGCTACGGTGGCTGATGCGCTTCAATCTACAGTGCGTCCATAAAGTAACGCATAAATAAATTATTGGCTAAATGAACAATAAAATTAGAAATTCCCGAAACAGGTCGATTTTTGATTTCAATTTACTATTGTTTCAAATCATAATCTAATATACAGGCTGAACCACTTTCGTGTAATGACTTCATAACCATTTTTTTCAAATGGAACCCCCCTTTTTTTTTCAATTTCAGAATTGCCCTTGCTGAGCTGATTCCAAAAATGTATAATATGTTGCTTCAAATTGGTACAGGGTGGGCAAAAATGCAAAAATTCACTTACAAAGTAATAAAAATAATGAATAAACGTAATAAACACATTAAATGAAATTACGTATTGTTATACAACTACTTTGATAAACTATCAAGAACATCCAGCATTATTCTTAATAATTGTATCTTACAGCTTTTATTAGTGATCCAAGCCCGTGGACTATAAAAATCATTTTGTTTGGCATTATCTTTTACCATTTTTTTAATTTGACAAAACTGTCGAAAACATTGAAGCACAGTTTCGTATTGTTAACGCTCTATAGAGAAGGTACGTTCGTGAACTTTTTTTACAAAATGCCTTTAACCGAAAGTGACAGGATTGAAATATTAATGATGATTGGTATTGGCGATAAGATGCGGACTCAACAAGAGATATGCCGATTATTCCATGAAATGCACCCATATCGTGAACCTATTTCACAATCTACGGTAAGTAGAATAGAGCGAAAATACAGAGAATTAGGACAATTTTCGTAT